TCTGGTGGCAACAGAGGCCAAGCAAGAGGGTCATCTCGGTACCAGCTGGCTTTCTCGGCTGCCTGCATTGACCATGACTCCTACTGTGCACAGCTGGCCCCAAGGGTCAGTTACTCTTCAGATCCGAATCCCTGAGGGTCAGGGAGATCAGCCAGAGGCCCCAGAGGTGGTATCCCTCCCTGGTGGACAGGCTCAGGTTCGGGATGTGAGGTCACATGACAGGGTGCACCACTGCCCCCCAGTGGCTGCCTTGGGAAATGTCAGTTGCAGGTGAGGGCACCTGGATGTCCAGGGCAATGTGGGATCCACGTTTAGTTTATCTCGACTGGTGGAAGGAAACTTCTTTAGACTCAGACCCCATACCCTTTGTTTTCGCTTTTTGAAGGCCCAGAGGCACTTAGCTTGAAGCATCTTCAGGTGAGGATGCTCACTGGCCAATTGGTAATTGACTTTTCCCCCCCACCTCTCCCTCCAGAACGAAAATATTTATCCGTTTCCCTAGAACCCTGTTCGCGACTGAAGACGCCTTTGAGTTTAGCAAACATCAACTAGGTACGATCTTCTGCCTTCCTTTCCAGGGAGCGTGCAGTCGGCGAGTTGGTTTGGGGCTGCGTCTCAGAGGGCGCTGGCACGCATTGGCGTGAACCCCTGCCATCAAGTTTTGGGGTGTTAACCTGGGAGCAGCTAGGGAATGAAGGTCAGAAAGGCCCGAGTCTGTGCCTGCAGGCAGTCATGACGTGGCTGTGCCATCTCGGTCCTGTCTGGGATCAGTTTGTTCAGTCCCACGAGGAGCTGAGCCTGCTGGCTAAGCCCCTCCCCTTAAATTAAGGTCTTAAAAACTTTGAAGTGGTCGAGGGCCATCTGGGATATTCATAGCATCCTCCTCCGGCTGTTGTGGTCAAACAGTCCACTAACTCACCCTTAAGGTGATGGCTGTGTCCTCTGGTAAAGAGTTAGTCTCGGAAACGCACGAGGGCGGTTCAACCCTATCCTAGAGGGGCGCTTAAGATGGTGTTGAATGGCTTCTGGGTGTGGCAAGGCGTGCTGTACAGTGGTAGCTGCTATTCATGATTTCACAGGTCTTATACGCTGTGAGTCAGCACCACCTGATGGTACTTAACATAGGGCCCGAGGGCTGGACACTCATTCCCACCTGTTTTAAATCCACCTGGTCCTGCAGCCAGCGGTCTGTTGTGAACGGAAGTTTACGTGAGGGGAAAATGTTTTTTAAAAAATCGAAGCTCCTGGGGGGTGAAGTTTACGTTGAAAATCCCACTGGTGTGTGAATGACAGCTATACTCGGGTTACTTGAGTGCCTGCCTGGGGCCTAGGAAAGCGGATGGGAGTCGTTGCTTGTGCCCTTGCATGCACCGGGAACTTTCTCCTTAGCACAAGCCTGTGGCTGCATTCCCAGCTCCATCTCGGTTCACAACCGCTGACTGAGCTGCTCAGCAACTTCCCGGGATCACACCGCTAGTAACCAGCAGAGCCAGGACCCGAAGCTCAGCCCCTCTGGCTGGTGGGGAGCCCTGGTGGCGGTGTGGTTATAACCACAGTGCCAGCAGTTCTCCTCTGGAGACAATGAAGGCTCTCTACCACCCCTCAAGAGTCAGTCTTGGGAACTCAGAGACAGGTCTACCCAGCCCTACAGGGTCGCTGTGAGTTCGGTTTTTGATTTTCTGTCTGGCTTCTGGATTTGGGCTTGTGGCCACTGTGCATGCTCAATTTGAGTCCTACAGCGTTGAACCCTAGTTGTGGGGGCCTGAGATGAAGGGACAGGAGCAGGCTGTCCCTCTCGCTCTGGGAGGTGGCACGGAGGGGCAGGTGTAGCTTGTGGCTGCTCAGACCAGGATTCAGCCGCCCTGGACTCGCTGTGTAGCCTCCAGCTGAGGGGATGAACGTCTGCGTGCTTTGGTAAAGCGGCAGGGCAATGGCTGCTCGACTACTGTCCGCTCCTTTCCCTACGGGATGAGGGGGAGGTGGTGTGTGTCCACACAGCCCAAACCGAACGCCTTTCCACTGAAAATACTGTTTCGTTTTCAGTTGCTAGAATCCAAGCCACATACAAAAGCTGCTTAGAAAGACGAGGCTACCTGGAACAAAAGCGAGCAGGTAAGCCTGAACCCGGACAGGGCCATGTGCCACGAGTCAGCCTCACCTTCTGGCCTCATGGTGTGGGCCGCCCATATCTCTGTACTGCCTGGGCATGCCCTTTGTTCCACGGGGTCCATGTGAGTCGCAAATCAGCTTGATGGCGGGAGTCTGGTTTGGCGTGGACGGGTTTGATTTGATCAACAGACACACACAGCCAGTGCAGGGGACCCCAAAGTCTCTCCCAGGCCCCGCACAGCTTGGAAGCGACCACTCTCCTGTGCCTTGACATCTATTTTCCTCCCATCTCTGTCTAGTTCACAGCCTGCGGGAGCATCACTAGGCAGGTGTTAGTGCAGCATGTTCTAAATGCCACAAAAATGAAACGGGGCTGTGTTTGGGGTGACACTGTGCCCTCAGCTGCATCTGAAATCCAACCCGGAGATTGGTGCAGGCTTGCTCACGATCCTGGCTCTGGAGAACAGCACTCCACTGTCAGAGGCCAGCACACCTTTTCTGGAAGGACCAGACGGTCTGCACTTTAGGCTCCTGGTGGGCACGGGCTCAGGCCGCAACCCCTGTAGCAGAGGGCAGCTTCCAACACACATGCACGAGTGAGCGTGGCTGGCTGTCGAGGGAACTTTGATTCTGCACACAGGCTGCTGGCCCTGGGGCAGTGTTTCACGAGTGTCCCACTGTCCAGCATGGACGTGTTTCTGGATTTTGTTGTTCTCACACTACAGTGGCGTCCGTGGGAAGCATTTTAAAAACAAAATGAGTGCAGCCAGAACGCTCCCTTTCCTATGTCTCCCGAGCTTTAAAGCAAGGTAGTGAAAACACTGGTGAAATCTAACCCGTCCCTGGGCCACCTGTCCCCCTGCCCACTGGCCTTAAATGCCCCAGCGATGGAGCGATGCTAGGGCCACTGTGGCAGGCCTTGTAGTCTAACTCGGACCCAGCCTCCTGTGGGTAAGCACGCTTGTGCTAACCACCTAATGCTGGCAGTGCCGTCTTGCAGCCACCACCCTAGAAGCTTACTGGCGGGGAGCCCTGGCTCGGAAGGAGGCCGAGAGGAGGAGGTGGGCCGTGCAGACGATAAGAAAGTAAGTGTGCCCTGCAGAAAGGCTGGTCCCCGGCAGTGCCTTCTAGGTTTGTGCACTAAGGAAAAGTCCCCCCTGGGAAGGCAGTGTTCCGCTGCCTTGGTCTAGAGCCCTCTTGGTAGTGGGCCCCAGCTTGGTCGTTTCTCTTAGCCTGGCAGGAAAGTCACAGGCCCGATGCCTTCCAATGACAAGCACGTCAGGTGACCCTGTAAACCAGGAAAGGGAAGTGGGGAGGGCTGTGGCCAAGTGCACAGCTGCTTCACCCTGGAGGGAATGCTGGCCAAAGTCGCGGGGAAACGCAGCCCCCCTTTCTGGTTTTTGCAAGGTGAACCAGAAATCCAGCTTTCCTGTTTTTCTTAATAACCAACTGGGTGAAGGGCCTCTGGGGTAGATTTGGCCTCTCGACCCTTCCACTAACCTGACCCAAACCGCTGGGCAAGCACACGGTCCTAGTGTTGAGATAGGGCCGAAGATCCACGCGGCTTGTTCCCCATCCAGGTTCATAAAGGGTTTCATCCATCGCAGCCAGCCCCTTTCTCCCGACGACGAGGAGTTTGTGGTGTTGGTGCGGAAAAATTACATCTTAAATCTCCGGTATCATGTTCCAAAGGACATCTTGGACAAGAGCTGGCTGAGGCCCCCTGGCATCCTGGAAGATGTAAGGGCGGGGCGGGGCGGGCCGGGCCTCTGGGTTGCAAGCGGCAGTGGGCACCCTGGGAGCTGAGCTTGGCCGCCCCCTGCTGCTGGCCTGGCAAAGCACTTCCCTGCGAGGCTGTTGGAATTCAGCTATGATGAGAGCAGTTTTGAAAGCACCAAGCTGCTGGGTGGGAGACAGGAGGCTGTCTGCTCCCATAAAGACCGGCGGTCTCGGAAACCCACAGGGGCAGCTCCACTCTGTCCACAGGGCTGCTGGGAGTCAGAATGGACTTACTTGATAGTTTTGGGGGGTTTGGTAAAGTCACTGGAGCACTTTCAAGTCCTTTTCCCTCCACCCTCGACAGGGGGGAGTGGTAGAACTCTTACCGGCATGTGACTAGCGGCCACTGCCCACCTGTGTGTGTATGAGAGAGACTATGCTGCTGAACAGGTTTCAGCAGAGCTAGAGGCCTGGCCCAGAACGGAGCAGGCAGTGTTGAGCTGCTCCCTGTGCACCATGCCTCAGGGCGAACTTGAATGCTTGCTGGCTCAGGCTGTTGCTCACCAAGTGGCTGTGTCCTAGAGGAGTCTGTCTGAAACGGGGTGGGAGCCACCACCTGTGCAGGCTCCACCCACACCCCTTGGGCCCGAATCTCTGCGTACCGGTCCCCTTAGCCAGTCTGAGTGCTGGAAGCCTCGCTGCCTGCTGTCTCGCGCGTGGGTTGGCCCTAACGTGAGCTCTCCATGCAGGCATCGGATCTGCTCAGGAGGATATGCAGAAGGAACCTGGTCCGCAAGTACCGCCAAGGGCTCCCTCCCAACAAAATCGCCCAGGTAGGGTCCTGCTGGTCCATGGGAAGACAGGATGGTGGGGGGGTGTGTGTGCATACTGACCCCTGCTAGGCGCCCTGAGGATGAAATGCCGGGACCCTGGTGCCCACCAGCCCTGGTTCTAGTCATCCGCCTGCCAGGGGACTACTCTGCGGCTGGCCCCTCTGCAGGACATCTCTGTGGGGAGCCCCGGAACCTCAGGGCCATTGCAACTACTTCCCTCTGGGGCTGCAGCCTTCAAGCAGCCCAGGACGGGTATCTCTGAAATTCTCACCCCTTCCCCATTCAGAAGCCAGGGCAAGTAAGGGTACACGCGCACAATTGCTGGCCCAGCTCCCTTCCCGGGTTGTTTTTAGGGCTTATTGTCAAGTGTCTAGAAGGTATCTGGACTTCAGCTATGCCACGGGGTGCCAACAGCTTAGCCAGTGTGGTGTGGCATGATCTCCTCGCCCCTGAGGGCCTGCTGCACTTTTTGTACTTTTGATTGTGTGTCCCCAGATGCAGCAAAAGGTGGTGATGAGCGACATATTCAGGGGGAAGAAAGAGGGTTACACAGAAAGCCTGAACCAGCCCTTCGCCAACAGCCGGCTGGGTGAGCCCCTGTCCCGTCTGGGGGATGGAGGAGAACACTGCAGGCAGACTCGGCCTTGGAGGGCAGTTCCAAAACCCTCCAGACAGTGAGGCCCAGGGCCGAGGGTGTGGGCGGGCTCCACTGAGGACTCTACCCGTTCCTTCTCAGACGGGGAAGACATCAGCCCCAAGGTGCTCCAGCTCATCTGCGCTGAGAAAATCCAGGCAAGGAGCATGGGCCTGCGGGGTGCGGTCAGGGGCCCCTGGGGACCGGCTTCCCTTCCTCAGGTGTACACACCCCAGCGCCCTGTCCTGAGGGAGCAGAGCCTGGGCGCACCCCCTGAAGAAGTAACCTCCCTGTGGGTGCTGGTGCCCCCTTGCAGTACGGCATCCCAGTCATTAAATACGACAGGACTGCCTTCAAGCCGCGGCCCAGGCAGCTCATCCTTACCCAGAAAGCCGCTTACGTGGTGGACCTGGCCAAAATCAAGCAGAGGATCGAGTACTGCACCCTCAAAGGTGCGCCGGGGCAGCCCCGGGGAGCTCCACACCGGGGTTACCTGTGGAGCCCTGCATGATTTCCTGCTGACACTTGGGGTGGGGGCTGGGCTCTCTCGGGGACCCCACAGCTGCCACTCACAGTGCAGGCCGCTCACCTGGCGTGACCACCGAGCCCTCCTCAGTGTGCCAGCCGGCATCTGGTCTGCCTCTGCTCTCTGTTTATGCCCGCCCTCCAACTCCCTCCCTGTGGCTCTGCCTTCAGGTGTTTCCACCAGCAGTCTGGGAGACGGGATCTTCGTCATTCACATCTCGCCTGAGGACTACAGGCAGAAGGTAGGGGCCTGGCTGACACCACGCCTCCAGCCAAGCGCTAAGCTACGCCCCGAGCAGCTCCCACCCCACTTGACCACCCTGCCCTCCTGTGCGCTCAGGGGGATGCCATCTTACAGTGCGAACATGTCTTCGAGGTGGTCACGAAGCTCGCCATGCTGGCTGACAAGGGGAACCTCGTCAAGGTGGTTCAGAAAAGGTAGGGGCTTTCTTTCGTCTCACGCAGGACGGAAGAGGTGAGCCGCAATCCTTCCCTTCACCTTTCCTCTCCCACCGGGCTCTGGTGACGTGCCCGCGGCTGCCCCGTCAGAGACAGGAGGCTTCCTTCTTCGGTGAAGGCCCGGAGGGGAGGGTGACTGGTGGCACCTAGTCCCATGGGGTCGCTGAGCCGGCATCGACTCGATGGCAGCAGTGGGAGTCCCTGGACATCACAGCGACCCTCCAAGGGCAGGCCCAGCTGCGGGGTGCGGGGAGGTTGTCTGGGACCAACCTGGATGACACCGAAGAACTTACTGAAAGGCAGTTACAGGCCTGACAGTCTTTGAGAGGGCTCGGCCATTACAAACTCCAAACCACCCCACAGTGGGCATCGACTTACTGGCCCTCGGTGGGCCACCAGCCACGGGTGGGGAAGAAGCCCACTCTCTTCCTGAGCCCTCTGTTGCCTAGTGAGGGCAGGCCTTTTGAGAGCTCTGACCCACTCCCACTGTCAGTTCCAACTCCGAGCCGCCCCATCGGACAGAGTGGAACTGCCAGTGGGTTTCAAGTGCTGCCTTTGCAGTCAGCAGCCTAACGTGCTCCCACAGCAGTGCCCGGGTGACGCAGACACGCAGGGCGACGGCAGGAATTTGATCTGCAAACAGGTGGAAAGTCATGCCAAACCTGTGTGTCTTCAGTTTACAGTTTTACGTCAGCCCTGCAAAAGGAGGCACGATCATCTTCAACAGCGGGCCCGAAGAACAAGTCTACAGAGATAAAAACGGGCAGTTGATAGTGGTGAGTGACCCACTGCTCAATCCCCCATGTCTCAAGCTTGTCCATACCCACTCTCGGCACTAGCAGGTCCTGGGGGGAGAGGGGGGAGTTGTTGCTGAGGCTCAGGGTGGACTCTGCCCCCACCCCCGCCTTTCAGGTGTCACTTCGGACCAAGGCCTGGTAGAGGAAGACGGTCACCATCTCTGAGGAAAGAAGCCGAGTTGGAGCCACCGTCAAAGGAAGGTTCTAGCAGCTCTGGGACAAGGGTCCCCTGTGAAGAAAGGAGGAGGGTGGCACCTTGCGCGTCTCTGCTGCCCCGTGTGTCGTCCAGGGAGCTACAGACGGTCTCCCTGTGCCGTGCAGCACGCTGAGGAGCCGCGCACAGCGGTGCTGAGAAACGGCCAGGTGTCTGGCTCCTTGAGGTCCTAGAGCTCCGCACCTGAAACCAGAGGTTCCCTAACCTTCAGCTGCTCCTGTCTGCTTTCTCACAAGCCCAGCAGGGGCCCCCAGAGGTGGTGGGCTGTGGGAGCGCTCCCGCGCTCAGTGCTGACAACTGCGCGTCGCGTGAGAGGCTTGCCGGTGTTTCCCAAGAGACCCAGAAGCCCGGCTTAGACAGAAGCATGTACAACACTTTTATTTGACACAGTCGCACAGATGCTAACACCCGACAGTGGCTGCTTCTGAGACGGAGCGTGTTCGAGCGGAGACGGGCAGGTGACGGAGGGGCCAGTGACTCGGCTCTAGAGAATGGAACTCACTCACACCTGACCTTAAATGCGGTCTCCATTTTGTTTTGAAGCTCATTAAAAAACAACACCTTTTTGCTTTCTCTGGGATGGCTCTTAAATACTTCTGTCCTGCTCGCCACGCTGTCACTGCGGAATGTCCCAGGAAGGTGAAGACGGGAAAGGACGGGCCAGGAGCCTTCGGTCCAAAGGCACAGAAACCACAACAAATAGGTGACAAAACCTACTCTTCTCACCAACATTTAAAAAGCACTTCATGGGATGGCTTTTCCATTCCTACAGGAAAACATCGGAACCGACGACAATTCACTTAAAAAACTTCCTACAAAAGTCCAACCCAAACAGCAGGGTTGGTGTTTTAAAACGAAACCGTATAAAAAGTCTTTACAAAACATGTTGTAAGCCCTCTGCTTGGGCTTTAGAGAAAACCTCCGCACACAACAGTTTACAGACCACATTCAAGTGTTTACTGCAGACTGCTGGGTACGGAGGAAAGGCAGACCACTGCCACAGGGAGGGCAACGCGTACAAAAGTCTAAGCTGTAAAAACCAATCCGAAATAGAAAACCTCGTGTCTGGAAGACACGCTCCCTGGTAATACCTTTGGCTTAAAACAGTAACGTTTCCCTCGAAGCCGACTAAACACATCCACGACCTTACACACATTCGCACCTCCTTCTAACTACTGGACCCACTCTAGAGTCCACCGGCGTGTGCGCCTCACAGGGCACTCTGGGCCCTGCCAGAGCTGGGTAAGAGCACCTGTCCCAGACCAGGGGGGCCCTCCGGCCGACCCCACGGTATACGCACATTTTTGGCAACCTGCTAACCGACTGCCCCTCTTGACTGCGTACAAGCGAGAGGGGAGTGACAGCTGAGCTCACAGTGGGGCCAGGAAAGCTCCCTGGGCAGCTGTGGGTGGCCACCGTGCCCGGGAGGGCAGCGTCCTTACCAAGCACAGGGACAGATGCCATTAACAAAACTGGGCCACAGGCTCGCCCCGAAAGCCACCCTGGGCTACTCACCACCTCCACACTGCAGTGACTCGCCCCTCACAGAGAGGATTTGTAGTCAAGCGGGGACAGTGTGCAGGCGCAGACCTGACCCCCAAGAGGTCAAACAGGTAGTCAACAGCCACAAAAATAAATACTGCAAACCACAGTTCTCAGACACGCCCCACCCACTCGCCCCTCTTCTCGGGGACACAAAAAGCAGAACCTTAGACACACCACGTGTTCAACCACTGCACACTCACCGGGCAAGGCAGATCGCGCACTTGTCAGAAACATCAAAACAATAAGCTGGCCCGTTACAAAAGACGCGACAGACGTGGGGAGGGGAGGGGAGGGGCGGGGGCCGGCCCGCTGGCCGCTCACTGGTGGAGGTGAGCACGGTCATCTGGGCGCTTGATGTGGATGCGCCGCACCCGCTCGATCCGCTCCCGCTCGCGCTCCTCGTCCTCGTCCAGGTGGTGGGAGCGGCCGGCAGCGCCGCCTGTGGCCTCCAGGAGCGCGTTGTCAGGTCCCCGGCCATCTTGGGCCTCATACAGCAGAATGTTCAGGGTCTCCTCGTAAATCCGGGCTTCAGGGAACTCCACCTGTGTCCCCACAAGACACACGGCAGGTCTGTTAGCGGGTGCTCCCTCACAGCTTCTGTGGCCCGTCATCATCTGCCATCCCCACCCATCCCCCGGCAGGTATACATCACCAGAAACTGGCTGCTGGCAAGCTGAATCCCACGCACCGCAAGCTCCGAGGGCAGGGCAGGGCAGAGCTGACCCCGAGGCTCCTGCGCCCCATCCCCGAGGAAGGAGCCCTGGGTGTGCAGCAGGGAAGCACTCGGCTGCTAACCGCAAGGTGGGTGGTTTGAATCCATCAGCTGAGAGAGCAGCATGGTAGCTGGCTTCCAGAAAGATTCACAGCCTGGGAAACTCCCCAGGGCAGTGCTAGTCGGTGAGTGGGAGTGAACTTGACAGCAGACCCCAGGCCTTTCTTCCGTAGAGCTCCTGGTGCCCTCAGACGGCACCACCGACCCGTCAGTAGCAGCCGAGCACGGGGCCACCAGCGCTCCTCTTTGGGTCTATATGGGCAAAACATACAAGCGCACGCGCACACACCCCCACCCCACCCCCAGAAGTCCAGTGCAGGCGCACACTCCCTGCAGCCTGTCTGCCAGTAATCAAGGGTGGCCATGCGTCCACCTAGCTCCTTCTGAGGGACAGTCAGGTCAGGTTCAGGGTTTGGGCTACTAAAAGTCGCAGTCGTGCACCCAAGTCAGAAAGGAAGACCGGGGATCCTCATGGCAGGTCAGATTTGGGCGGCACCCAGGCAGGCCTTGGAGCAGAAACTCTGGCTGCCTGCCCAATGGGCAGGATGCTCACCACGCCAGTGAGGGCTGAGAAGGAGCAATGGCCAATGCATTGCTTTACCATCTTCCCCTCAGGCTGACTTGATGCCGCCTGCCCCGCCCCTCATGAGCACCCAGTCACAGTCTCCTGCCAGCCCACAGACAGGCCCCTTGTTTCCCGTCTCTCTCTGCACCTGCACCACAGCCCCCAAGCAACCTGGTGGCCATGGAAGGCTGCAGGAGTCGCAGCTCTGCGAGGAAGCGTCAGTTCTGATGAGACGTGCCCTTGTCTGCACGGACGCTCGCTTGCCTCTGCGCCGTAGGCACCATCCCAGAAGGTGCGTCGCAGAGTGGACTAATTACAGCCCCTGCTTTCTGGCCAGATGGCGGGAGTGAGGACAGGCCCTGGTGAGGCTGTGCACGCAGCCTGGATGCACTCCCCGCTGCAGAATGGACCCACACACAAGGCACACACCGAGAACGAAATGTCAGGGCAGGATCTGAAGACTATGGGAACCCAGGAGCGTGAGTTGAGTTTGTAGGTCAACTGCCTGCTTAAAACAGAAACAGCAAAGTTCCCAGCAGGTTTTAAATACAATGTCCAGGCTACAATTCACAGCTGCCGAACATAAGCCACAGGGGCAGCTCTAACCTGTCCTATAGGGTCACGATGAGTCGAAATCAACTCAATGGCAGTGGGCTGGTTTTGAGCTCTGCTGGCAGTGGGGCTGCTAACTGCAAGTTCAGTAGTTTGAAATCACCAGCTGCTCTGTGGAAGAAAGATGAGGCTTTCTACTCCCGTCAAGAGTTCCAGTCTTGGAAAGCCACAAGGGCAGTTCTACTGTCTGATAGGGTCGCCGTGAGTGGTCTGGATTCGATGGCGGCAGAGGGTGCGTGTGAGCTCCTGAACACTGAAGCAGCAGCAGAATCGGAAGCCCGGTAGGAAAACCCCACTGAGAGATGTGACACAAGCTGAAATGAGCGGTCAGGGCACCCAAAGCAGCGTGACAGAAATGGCCCAAGACACGCTCGTAAAGACAGAAAAAGTCACAGCAAGGAAGCCCAAAGAATCAGACATTTCAGATCTGAAACAGTGTCACCAAAACGGTGCCAAGAACACCCCCCCCCCCCTCACTGGAAGGGCTCAAACAATGATGGAGTCAGGGGAGAGGCTGCGTCTGAAGACTCTGGGGGAATTCTGGGAACTAAATGATCCAATCGGAACAACAGGGGGTGGGGAGACAAATAAAGAATAGGATCCTGTGTTTAATTATCACCTCGCCGCTGTGAGTCAGACTTAGGAATCAAATGGATAATGTGTGAATTAAACTTCTGCTCACACGTCAATTTCAAGAAGCCATTCCCTTTCCAGTGTGACAAGGCACTGAGCTGGTGAGTATGACGAAATGCAAAAACAACAAAGGGAACATCAGCATTACTTCCAGTAACAAAACACGCGTGCTGGCCACGAGGAGAGCACAGCTCCAAGGCCTGGCCAGCCGGGGAAGGAGGCAGCTCCTCCCAATGGCAGCTCCTGAGAACGGCAGTCACACACTCCGCAGAAGGAAGGAAGGACCCTGTAAGAGGATCTAGTTACTGAGATACACCACAGTGGTTGCTGGGTTGCTCACCACAAGGTCAGCAGTTTGAAACCACCAGCCACTCCCTGTAGGAGAAAGAGGAGGCTTTCGATTTCTGTACAGAGCGGCACTCTCGGAAACCCACCAGGGCAGTTCTACCCTGTCCTACCAGGGCGCGAGCAGACTCTTCAGGCTCAGGCAGCCAGACGCCGGGATCCAGAGGGCAGCTCTAGGGGAAGGCCCCTGCCTCCCTTTCTCTTCTGTGCCTGGGCAACCATCTTCGCCACACAGGGCCCGGGGTCCAATGGGCACATTCAGCTTCGGGCTCTGCTTTCTTGATGACCGTCAGGTCCTCCCTCCCTCCCCACTTCTCCCTCCACCAAGGGTGCGACATGGTTCCTGCTCCCTAACGACTCAAGATACGACCCACCAACACGCGACCCACTGCCACGGAGTCGATGCCACGCAGTGACCCGGACAAGAACCGAGGAGCTGTGGGAGGACATCGAGATCGGCCACAAAGAAAGCCAAGGGTCACTGAAAAGACAGGAGAGAAAGAAAGATGGAAGTGATGTCAGAACAGATTCAGACACCTGATTTTGATTGTAGAGTAGCTACGGCAACGAGAAGAAACGACATCGAAGAGCAGCTCAAGAAGACAAAGTCAAAGACAGTGAAATCTGCAAAGCCCTACAGTTAGAAACCTAAGAAGATAGAGCACACTCGGCATACAATCTTACACTGAGAGCACTCAAGAAAAAAATGTACCCATTCCAAAAAAGGGTGACCCAACGGAGTGCACAAAGTGTGACCACCACGGCCAGCACATGCAGTAGCGATTCTGAAGATGGGGAACAAGGGATGGATGTCATGGCTGATGCCAGATGGACCTTGGCTGAAAGCAGAGAAGCCCCTAAAGATGTTTACTTGTGTTTCACTGACTGTGCCAAGGTGTTTGACTGTGTGGATAAGAAACTCCGACAACAGGAATTCTCACATATTTAATTGTGCTTATGCAGAACCTCTATCAATCAAGAGGTTGCTGTGCAAACAGAACAAGGGAAGGCAGTATGGCTTGACATCGGGAAAGGTGAGCGTCAGCGTTGTATCCTCTCACCTGAGTCTCTATGCAGAGCAAGTCATCAGAGCTGGCTGACACGAAGAAGAGTGTGGCATCAGGACTGGAGGAAGGCTTACTACCAGCTGGTGATGTGCAAATGACACAATCTCGCTGGCTAAGAGTGAGGAGGACTCGAAGCACGTGCTGATGAAGGTCAAGGGGCTCAGTCTTCAATAGGAATTACAAACCAGTGCAATGAAAACAAACAATCCTCACCACTGCACCAATGGAGAAAAGACGGATGTTGTCAGGCTGTTGTCTTACTCGGATCCGCAAGCAGCGCTCATGGACACAGCAGTCAAGGATCAAAGGCCGCGCTGCACTGAGACGCCTGCTGCACAGACCTCCTCAAAGTGTGCAGAAGCAAGGATGTGACTGGGAGGACTAAGTGCATCTGGCCCAAGCCATGGCATTTTCAATCGCCTCCTATGCCTGTGAAAGTTGGACACTGAGTAAGGAAGACCGCAGAAGAAGAGATGCATTTGGATTATGGTGCTGGCGAAGAATACTGAAAGTACCAGGGACAGGAAATAGATCTACATGCATATATTTGTAGATTTAGTATTAAGGTAGCAGATACACTTTGTTCCATTAAACTGGCATTCTATGATGTTCACCTTCCCAACACGATCTCTGAAGACAAAACGGGTGCATAAGCAAATGCGGTGAACAAAGCTGATGGTGCCCGACTAACAAAAGATGGAGCATCTGGGGTCTTAAAGACTTGAAGATAAATAAGTGACCATCCAGCTGAAAAGCAACAAAGCCCACATGGAAGAAGCACGCCAGCCTGTGTGATCACGAGGTATTGATAGGATCAGGTATCAAAGATCAAAAAATCTTATCATTGTGAATGAGGGGGAGTGCAGAGTGGGGACCCAAAGCCCATCTGTAGGCAACTGCACATCCCCTTACAGAAGGGTAGTGGGGAGGAGACGAGCCAGTCAGGGTGAAACATACAACTCTCCTCTAGTTCTTTAATGCTTCCTCCCCCACTATCATGATCCCAATTCTACCTTACAAATCTGGCTAGACTAGAAGATGTACACTGGTACAGATAAGCACTGGAAACACAGGGAATCCAGGACATAAACCCCTCAGGACCAATAATGAGAGTAGTAATACCAGGAGGGGGAGGGGAAGGGGAAGGTGGGGAGGAAAGGGGGAACCGATTATAGGGATCTACATATAACCTCCTCCCTGGGGAATGGACAACAGAAAATTGGGTGAAGGGAGACGTCAGACAGTCTCCTTAGACACGAAAAAATAATAATTTATAAATTATCAAGGGTTCGTGAGGGAGAGAGGGTGGGGAAGGAGGGGGAAAAATGAGGAGCTAATACCAAGGGCTCAAGTTGAAAGAAAATGTTTTGAGAATGATGATGCAACAAATGTACAAATGTGTTTAACACATGGATGGATGGATGGATTGTGATAAGAGTTGTACAAGCTCCCAACAAAACGATTAAAAAACAAAGTAGCGGGGACGGCCAAAAGAACAAACACATCTGCCTTGGAAAAAGTACAGCCAGACACTCCTTCGAGGCCAAGATGGCGAGCTTTCATCTCATGTACTCCAGTGAGTTCCCAGGTGAGCCTGTGTCCGTGACATTCAATCCACCACTGGGGAGAACAGCTGCAGACATGGAGAAGGGTACAGGCTCACCTCGGGACTCATCTGTTCATCGACAGTGATTGGCCAGAGGCTACGAAGGTGGTCTCTAAGGATCATCCAGTGATGATATATTGATTATCTGAGGGCAGAGGGAAATCACGTTCATAAAAAAACTTGACAAAATGTATTGTTAAGAGGAGAAATTTAGAGTCACCAAAATAATTCACAGGCATACTAATGTGAATATAGCAAGGGTAGCAAACAATTCTGGTTCCTCTGCTCTATCTGATAAGAGATGCTCGCAGTGTTTCCCTTTCTGACTACCCTAAAACAGTATGTACCTTCCAGGACACACTCTGGGCTCTGTATGAAAGGCGCGCGTCTGGGCGGTATCCTCTCACCACACGTACTCAATCTGCGTGCTGAGCAAATTACCTGAGAAGTTGGACTATGTGATGACGCTGCATTGGACGTGGAGGCTTATGAACAGCCCACAATATTCAGATGACACAACCTGGCCCGCTGAGAGCGAGAGGACTTGGGTCATCACTGGCTGAAGAAGATCAAGGATTGCAGCCTTCAGTGTGGTCTCCGGCTCAATGCAAGGAAACCAGATCCTCACAACGAGCCGGTCGGAAGCACCGTGACAGAGGGCAAAGACCAACTGTCGAGGGCCGATGCCCAAGGAGGCAGGCCTCCAGACATCAACCAAGGGCGGCACGGGGCCAGCCTGCTGCAGTAAACCTCTGTGAGGGTTCAAAAGCAGTGCTGGTCCTTGGAAGACTAAGGTGCCCCTGACCAAGCCACGGTGCTTTCCATCACCTCACATGCGTGTGCACGATGGGAAAGGAAGAGTGAACGAGCGAGGCCCCGGAATGACGGTGGTGGGAAGAGTACTGCAGATGCACGGATTGCCGGGACAACAAACAAATCTCTGTTGGGAGACGTGCAGCCAGAATGCTCCGGACAGGTCCGGATGGCGAGACTTCAGCTAGTGTACCGTAGACACGTTGTCAGAAGGGACCAGTCCCCAGAGAAGGGCATCATGCTTGTACAATAGAGGATCAGCCAGGGGAAAAAAGAGAGAGAGAGAGCGAGCGCTTCACTGAGATGGCAGGACGCAGGGGCTCGGACACAGCAGCCATGGTGGGGCTGGTGCAGGATGCGGCAGTGTTTTGTTCCGCTGCAGGGCTTCTGAGGGTCGGAGCTGACTCAGGCAGCTGGCAACAAGCAAGCCAGCAGGGAGATCACTGTCCTACCCAGTGTGTGTGATTCAAATCCTCAACACCAAGTTAAAAGAGACTCTGGTTCCTCCTCTGTGGTCTGCTGTTTTCTTTTGGCTTCAGGGGCCAGCCCCAAAGTCACACGCCACTGGGTGTCCCAGAAGTGCAGACACGCAAACACTGGTAAGAGAGTGACTGCTTGTTATTGGCTGTGGTTGACTTGATGCCTGCCTGGCAGACCTACAGAAGCCCCTGGTAGTCAGATATTCCTCGGGCAGGTTGAGAAGGAAATGAGAGAGTATATAGTAAGATAAAAACAACACAAAGGCCCACTCCCATTAGTCCAGGGAGGGCAGGCAGGCAGGCAGGCAGAAGAGCTGAAGGAAGTGAGCTTCGGGGACCAGACGCCCAGACCTCCAGCAGCACCTGTGGTGCGGAGCAAACCATCGAGCTGTGCAGAAGTGCACGAAGGAAGTCAGGGGAGGCCCGGCTGTGGGGTTTCGAGCAGACGATGAACGCAGACGCCCAGAGTCCAGCTCAGCGAAGGGTCGGGTGTGCTCAGATGGAAACCATGAAGACGGGCAGCCGAGGACTGCAGGAAGGGCCCAGCACACAGGAGAGGGCAGCTGTGGGTCAGCAAGTCAGAGAAGGGTAGACAGATGAGGAACCAGCTGGATCGGTGCTGCTGGGAAACAAAGCAGTGGGCAGAGGAGGGCAGGGCAGAGGCACAGGAAGTGGCTCACAGACGGATCTGAGGAATGGCCGAGGAGCTGCTGGCGGCGGGCCCCCTGGCCCAGGGAGCCTTCTGCGTCAGCAATTACAGCAGCGGAACACAGACAGGCAGACGATGGGACTGGCTGCACTGGCCAACTGTAGGAACGGAAAGACCACCTGGGTCTCCCAAGATCTACCTGGGGACCCTGCCAGGACTCGAAAGAGTAGGAATACTTTAGCCATGAAACCTGGGAAGCATGAGTAAGGCTTGTCCCTCTGTCCATGTCTCCCACCTCTCTGTCAGTCTGTCTTCCTCTGGTGGCCTGCCCCGTGCTGTGCCGCTGGAAGCCATGTCATCACTGCCACATGGTAGAGAGGCAGCCCGGGGTAGGCAGCCCGCAGCAAAGCTTCCCGAACAAGACCAAGCAGGAGCAGAGCCTGCCAGCCCACCCTCGGGGTCCCAACAGAGTAGTGGACAGCGCTCCTCCGCCCCAACCCCAAGAGTAAAAGGACTTCAAAATGCAGTGGCTGCAGCAACGGGCTACGCGTCACTGATGGTGGCCCCAGCGATTCCTCCCCTTGTGCGTGGGGCCACCTCGTCACAGCGCACGCACTGGCAGCTCGCAGTAAGAAGCTGATTTTGCTGACGTGCAGAGAGATGCTGCCCAAAAACCGTAACCCAGAACGGCCACCCTCCTTGCTGGCTGAGTGTCCCCTCTCAGACGAGTCCTCGCGGCTCTTACCTTGGTCTGTTTTTTCTCGGTGGCGTAGACGATGGAGGTGCAGCAGACTTCAGCAATCTTTCGGCCCTGGCCGTAGAAGGACCAGCAACAGATCTCGTCCCCAATGACGTCCTTGATGAAGAGGACCCTCCCATTGAAGCGCAGAGACAGCTTATCGAACAGTTCGATGTTTTTCAACATGTTGTCGTCAGAATTACTGTAAAAAAGCATTTGGCGGGTGAGCCACCCACAGATGACAACCACGCGCTGCTGCTCTGTGCGGGCCGGGTCTCCTGCACAGAGAGCGGGACAGAGAGAGCCACCCGAGTGCGGAGGACGGAACTGGCCCAGGGAGACTTTGTATCCAGGGTCAGTGTATGTACAGGGCTAACGTAGCCGCTTTCAATTCCCTGACACCCCAACCCAACCCAGGGTCTGAACCCAGAGCCACACGCGCCCAGGAGGCAAGGGCCTCCTGCTAGGCGAGCTGTAAAAGGAGGCAGCCACTTTGGAAAAATGCCTGGCAGTTCCTCCAAAAACTAAAGAGAGTCACCAGTCAAAGACACAGCCAAAACCCTCCGCAGCAACGCCACAGCTGTGGCCATCAAGTTGGTTCCAAGTCCAAGCCAACAGGGCAGGCCTGCTCCTCAAGGGTTGTGAGGCTGTCACTCTTGACCCAGCCCGTGCACTTGTGGGCACACAGGCAGCAGAGCGAGCGCCTGAGCCCACACAACAACTTGCACAGGCCTCTGCAAGCCAGCAGCATGCACAGTAGCCAAAAGGTGGGTATATCCACAGCCCCAGTGTCTGTCAGTTGGATACACAGAAAACAGCTTCATCCAACACAGGGCTACTCTTTAGCCTTTGAGAATGGGCGGTGGACTCCGGCTCAGGCTACAGCATGGACACGCCTTGAAGACATGCCGCACAAAAGGCCACGCAGTCCACGATCCCACATGGAGGAGACGTGCAGAGCAGGCAGAGCCAGAGAGGCATAGAAGCCGAGGCAGTGGTTTAGTGACCCCAGAGCCAGCCCCAAAGGCTTCCCAAATAAGGAGGTGGCAGCAAGTGTGCCATCTCCACGGTACGGGATGGCGTCTCAGTAACTAGTCACGTCTACATAGAGGCACGTTCTAGAAGTGTGGGGACCATCCCTCTGCTGGAGGGGGTTTGTCCGTGTGTGGGGGTATCTTGTCCGGCCAGCGCCTTACCTGGTGTACGAGTACTTGTTGTTACTTCTGTTGTACAGCAACTTCACAGCGGGCTGTGCTCATGTTAAAGAAGGAAGCAGAGAGTTACTCGGGGTGCGCTGCTGCGAACCCCGGCTTCTTGGGGCCCTGCCACGAGAGGAAGACAAGCTCACCTCGTTGGGGAGGGTGACCCCGTGACCCAGGAGCAGGGTGACCAGAGCTGACCTCAAGGGTCCCACCTTCACCCTCAGTCTCAGGCCATCACGGAAGCTGTTACTCAACACTCACTCAGAAGGGCCCCTCGTTTCCGACAGCAGAAGAAAGCCGGAGCGGGCCTGTGGCCTACCTTATTGGATGTGGCGATCAGTTTCTGCTCCTCCTTCGATGAGGTGATGACGGGAACTTTGCAGAAAGGCTCATACGTGTCCTTATTCTGCAGGAACAAAGCATGCAGTCAGTCAGGAGGCCTGCCAGTCCTGGCTCTCAGCTGGCTGAGCCACAGGGAGGACACGTCGTCCAAAGCCCCTGATGACAAACCCGAGGGGGACAACGAACCACGACTGAATCCAAAGCTCCTGACCACCTCGCTCCAAGCACCACCGAGGAATGAGTCCGGCCCAGCCCACACAGACTAAAGGAAGAGAGGAGTGGTGGCAGCAGACGGGACCAGGCTGGAAAGCGGAGAGAAGAGGGCAGGTGCTCAGGAACAGAGAGGCTGACACCAGCCAGCAGCTGAGGTGCCTCTCGGAGCGGCTCCAGGCACCCAGAGGAAGAGGGTGAGAGCAGAAGACGCCCGAGGAGCCCCTCTCTCCAGCCTGCACTATGTGGGAGGTGTGCACGGCAGATGGCAGGGCCAGGCTGCTTCTCATAACACAGGCGCAAGAAGCGAACTTCCAAACAAGTGGGGGGTGAGCCCCTTCTCCCCACACCCACGCTCAGAGCCCAGAATGCAGCCAGCCAGGAAAAAGGGGAAAGGGTTCATCTACAGGAAAAAGGGCCCAACCCCTGGGATCCCTGCTGAGAAGAACCAGGCTTGCTGTCCCACAACAGCAGCAATGCCCAATGAACCACGTGGCTGCCCACGTACAGGCCCTTCTCAGAGCCTCTTACAGGTGACACCAAGTCAGAGAGAAAGAGAGCCCAAGGACGCCGGCTTGGCTCAGAGCAATGGCCCAGACAGGCAGGGGAAGAGCGCAGAGATCGGGTAGGGAGCAGGCGAAGGAGGCTCTGAGAGAGTACTTGGACGACGGCAGCAATGAAGGCTGGGGAAGGGCGGCCCGAGAAAAGCTCCCGGGGAGGAGAGAACAGAAAGTCAGAGCCCCAGAGACCCGGAGGGAAGAAGACTCAGTTCCGCCGGGCCTGAGGTTTGACCTTCAGCCCAACAGGAAGTGAAGTGCGACTTGCATCTCCAGGGCAAACATGGAACTCAGAGAAGCCCCTTTGGGTCGGAAGTCACCAGCAGAGTCGCCCCTTCCTGGCCAAGACCCTGTGGTTGACGCAGTGACGTGGACGTAAAACCAGTCCCTTGAGGAAGACACCATGCTGGGTCAAGCACAGGGACAGGGAGAAAAAACAAGATCCAAGGAAGAGAGACGGCTACAGCGGCTCCAACAGCACACAGGATGGTGAGGCTGGAGCACGACGGGACAGCGGTCCCTTGTGTGGACGCAGGGTCTCTCTGAGTCACGCTAGACTTGATGGCAACAAACATCAACTACTGAGAAAGCCGCAAACAAGACAGAGAAGCCATCAATGGCCCGGGCGTAACTGAATAGCTAACAAGGCCAACCTTCACTGTGGCTCCGTCAACCATAGTTACCACCCCCAACCCCGACCCCACGCTCCCAGTATGGGGAGGAAAGATGTGTACACCAGCCGGGCAGTGGTTGGGGTGACGGCAGTGGGTGAACTAAATGCGGATCTCCTTTAATAATGCTAATAGAAAAAAGGTCGGAGGTGGAAAAGCCTCTAGGTGGCAGTCTCAACGAGTAGGGACATGCACTTAAGACAAGGTGCTGAGAGAACAGAAAGGTTGGGGTGCATAGGGGCTTGGTGGTGACGCTGCGATAAAGTAAAAGCAACAGAGTAGAGGCTGCTTTAGCTTGGCAAAGAGCCCCAGGCTCTGAGGGCACAGGTTGTATGGAAACAGCAGTGTGGTGGTTACATAATTCTGTCAATTTGAGACTTGAGTGAAGGGGTGGAGTTTAGACTGTCAATCAGGTCGCAGCTTGATGACATCACTTGGAGCCACTAGGAGATAAAATAGCTCCCTGGAGGCAGGGCACAAGCTCACTCCCTGCTTCTGACAAGACACATGGAGCTACGCTAGAGCCCTGACGCTGAAGGAGCCCCATGGAGACCCGTGCCATTGCTTAGATGCTTCCACTGCCACTGGACCCAGGAGACTTGCCACCCACTGGCCTGTGACAATCCTGCATTTGGAGTCATGGCATGTGTTTCATGAGCCTGTAGAGGAACTTATAGACTGGTATCGGATGTATGGGCTCATATCAGACTTATGGTCTTGATCTGGAATGGGCTGGGATGTTTTCTTAATATACAACTGCTCGTTTATAGAACGTTCTTTCTTATACACTTACGAGGGTCTATGAATTTGTTTCTCTAGTCCACCTAGACTGGGGGAGCCAGGGCTTGTGGGCACTGGGCCAGACACAGACCCCGCAGCCTCAGAAAGGCACAAACAGAGCTCAGGGTCCCATGAGGACCCTGGGACTCTTCCCAGCTCTGACCTGGGGGAGGCATTGGAAAGAAACAGCGGCTGGCCCTGACTCCCATGTGATTGGACCCCAAGCCTCTTGCTCCAAGCTCATATTGGGTCCAGCTGTGGAGAGAGGGGCCCCTGTCCTCAAAGATTATGCTGGTTTCCCAGCAATGAGTCACAGAAAGAATGTGAACTTTCCTAACACTCGACCAGCAAGCAGGTCAAGTTTTACACAGCCCGGCTGACTAGTGAGGGTGCAGTGTACCCACCACCACGGGGAACTGACCCCCTCTACCCCCTTCCTTCTGCAGAGAAGAAAACGCGAAGGGAGATGCCTACTTGTAGAGCGGCCTGGCACTCTTCCACCAGGCCCTGGACCAGGTAATACTTGGCTTCTGCCAGCAGCTCCTCAATCTCCCGGCGGCTCTCAGGCAGGGGGACCGCCCCATCACGAAGGTAGTTGAGTATTGTACCGAAGTGCTTCCCACACCGGTCAATGAGGATCCAGCCTGCAGCGGAAGGAAAGGGGGAGGAAGGCAGGGCACTGAGTCAAACGGGGATCACTCTCAGGAGGTGCTGAGCAGGAGTGGGCATCTGTGGGCATCCGCTACCTCCAGGAGAGAGCTGGGCTCAGAGGCAGCGGTGGGCTGACCAGCTTCTGCCCTAGGCAGCATGGCCACACCTGGAGGCAACCACAGCCCGAGACTCCTCTGGTCCTCGGGCCTTCTGACACCAGAGGCCTAGAAGCAGGTTTCTGACGTCCCCTCAAAAAGCCCGTCGGCAGAAACATCCTTGGAAGGGCCCAATGCACTTAACACCAGATCAACTAGGTGCCAAAGACCACAGGGAAAGGTCTACCGGGTAACACAGTACCTCTGCCCCTTTCTCCACAAGGCTTTGCCCAGCCTCTAAAGTAACGGTGCCATTGTTTACAGAAGTGGAAGTGTCACCCTGCAGACTGGGGCTCAGGCTCCCAAGGGTGAGCCCCGCACACACCAGCACCATGACTGTTGAGTGCCGCTGACTGGGATGAATCAGGAAAGGAGACTGACTTTGCTCCCAATCAGTTCAGCCTAATCTGAGAAGGAACCTGCTTCATTTGTGGGACACACACACACACACACACACACACACACACACACACACAACCTCACCGCCATCTAGTCGATGCCAACTCACTGAAACCCTAGAGGACACAGCAGAACTGCCCCTTTGGGTTTTCTGAGACTTTAGCTGAAGAGTGAATGCCTCATCTTCCTCCTGTGGGGCAGCCAATGGTTTTGAACTGCTGACCTTTCAGTTAGCAGCCCAGTGTGGAAACCCCCTAGGCCACTAGGGCCATTTCTTTTTGCATCTCAATGTCATTATTGAGCTTGTCATTGGCCTAATTACCCACCAGCACTCCCTCCACTGAGGCTGGGGAGCAGGAAGCAGGACTGGAGTCTGCAGAGAGGCAGAAACAGGGCAAAGACCAACTGAGCCGCCCCAGGTCAGGGGGGTTACTGAGCCCCCAGGCTCACTTTGGAGATGAGAGCATGCCAGTGGGCATGGTGCTAGGAGGGTTAACCAGGTACCACGCTCATTTTATGCCCCTACCCTCTACTGCTCAAGGTTGGGAGAAACGAAATCAAAGGACACAGGTGCGCCAGTAAGCAGACTCTGATTCACGGCAGCCCCGTGTGTTGGAGAACTGCTCTGTGGGGGCTTCGTGGCTGTCAGCCATCTCTATGGACAGCAGAGTGCCAGGTCATCGACCCTCTCGGACCACCACGCCACTCTGCCCAGGGGTGTCTACGGAGCCTGGGCCCCGGAAGAGCCCAGAGCCAACAAAAGGCCTGGGCAAACCTAAGATGCACAGAAACGCTGAGTCCAGTGGACTGAGGAAATGGGACAAACCAGCACCCACCACCCCGAGACCAGGGGATCCCAGGGAAAGTGGGAGAAAAATGTAGGACAAAAGGCAAACGCTCCCATAAAGAACACCAGGCTCACAGGCTGGATAGTGGTGGAAGGGCGGGGAGAGCTAACTGTGGAGACATGGCCCTCAGTCACCCTGAGGATATGCGCTCCTGCCCTTTGGAAACTCCTCTTGTGCTTCCTTAGTTCATGGACCTTCAGTCGGAAGTTTAGCCTCCTCCCTCCAGACCCTTCCGCCTCACACTTTTCTCCGGAGGAGAGCAAGAAGAAACCCCCCAGCCAGGGGGAGAGCAGTGCAAATGTTTCACTTGGAATCTAAGCTGGGCGCGAGGCATCACTGCTTTGGTCAATCTCATCCCTTCTGACCATAACCCTCTAGATTTCCTTTCTTCCTCATTTCTTTCTCCACTGTGCTCCGGCCCTCGGCGGGAGGGGGTGGGGGGTGTTGTGTGTGTGTGTGTGTTTCAGATCTACCTATACACAGAAAATGATCCAAAACACAGGCAGGATGCAAACAAAGAAAAAAACAAACCAACAACTAGACAAAACATGGACAAGCATCAATCAAAAGGAAAGCAGAAAATAATCAAAACAAACAACTTTCTAGAATGGGTCCACAGGGAGCTCAAATAATAAGGCTTTACATTTTAACCAGATATAGCTGCCTTGGTCGACTTTACAGTGCTGTCTGATAGCCAGATGGCTCGCATCCCTGGAGTGTGGTCAGAGGGGATTCACCAGAGACTTAAATCACGTGGGGACCTGCAAATAGAGCTTGAGTTTCCATTGTCCTCATCATCCTCTGCAAACTGGGCATTCACAGTTTAAACTCCACAATCCTTGGGTCACACAGGCTGGTGGGTTTTTTCCATGTACACTTAGCTGATCTTCATTGAGATGGCTGCTTGTTTTAAGACAAACCATTAAGACCCTAAATACTATTCTTTCTGATAGCTGGGCACCACCTGGTTTCCTCACCATGCTTTGCTATAGCACCCACATCTTCAGTGATCTCTTCAGGAGGGTGAGCATCGACAGCTGAATATATTAATCAAGGGCTCAGTAGATGGACCCTGACCAAAAGGGGGGCAAATGAAAGACAGAATCTCAAATCCCTCTAGAATCCAGACTTACTGAGTGCGCTCTGAACCCAAATCGCTTGGCCTATGATAATCATTACACCTTAAGCCAAACACCAGTTTCGCTCAACTAGTTTAAACAAATGTTTTCCTTGAGCATTATGCTTCTTTAAAAAAATTCTCAGGAAAGCAAAAGGAAATAGAGGACAGAGCTGGAGGCAAAGGGCATATTTATAGAGGTCTAAATAAAGGCATGTACATATGTAAATATATTTATATATGAGGATGGGGAAATAGATCTATGTACATATATTTATAGGTT